TGAGCTGGGATCCCTGAACCAGGAGCCTTGTCTAAACGGTCCCCATCCCCTCCCACCCGAGCCAGCTTTAAATATCTATGGGTAATTTTCCTCCACCGTCAGCATTGTACCACTTCTCCTCCTACCTTTCACACACAAGCCCCCCCCCGCAACCTCATCCACCCAGAACTAAGCACAGCTCAAGCTGAATAAACATCTCAGGCCGCACGTTCCCCAGTCCCACAACGGGAGGCCCGTTTCCACTCGCTCGACTAAAATTCGGTCGCTGGGTTAGAGACCGCCGAGGCGAGACACCGAGTCAGAAGGGGTACGGGCGACATTCGAGCAACAGTCGCAGGTCGGTTGCAACGCCCGGCCTGTTGGAGCCCCAACGGCAAAGGCTGTCACACTGTCCCCAAGAAGACCGGCACAAGTCCTCCCCGCAAAAGCGACGCACGCTTTGAGCTAACGCTCCCTTGGAGCGAGACCGGGAAAAGTCACGCTAACTCAAGGCTTGTTCCCAGCGGGTACAAAGCCACGACCCCGACGCTGCGAGCTACTGATTGTTTCTACAGAAACAACGAGGTGTCCCACGTGGTCTATCAGCTAGCCGTAGGCATTTCAAGCAGGCTCCCAGGTGTCTGGCGACTCCTTAAACACCAATGTTTGTCCTGGCTGTTCATCGGTTTCCAGAGAAGATCCAAACCCCCCGTCAGGAGAAAAGACAAGTCTTGCTGCTACTACAAGAACGCATCGCAGAGGCTGAACCGAGGGTCTGACAATCTGCACAAAAGCAGCAACGCGGTGCTTCACAAGGAGGAATCTCTCCACCGCCATTCCCAAAAAGCCAGAAGAAACGGACTGCCTCCCCTCGAGGATCACGTGAAGAACTAGGCCCGTTGGCGCGGGAACCCAAGTGCCTTGGATCGGCCAGATCCTGCCTCTCGCGCTCTCACTCCCTTCTCTCTCGGCCGAGATTTCTGACCCGGAACCACGCTGCTCGAGCCTGAGCCAAGTTTCCCAAAATCCTTTGCGATGCCAGGGTAGCAGCACAAGGGTTTGTCTTTGTTTTCCTCAGTGTGCCCGTGACATATGGCATAGCCTTAGCAATAACTCACTGGGGTCACCAGGCATGTTTGCCCTTCGTTACTTTTTCTTCCCCGCTCGCGCCGCAGCAACACGTCTCTGATCTAAGCCAAAGATCCCTGCACAGCCCAGACATGCCGCAGGGGCCGCTCATCGAGAGGCCGGAGCTTGGGACGTGCCGAGTCAGAAACGCATAAGGGATCGGTTTGTGCAGGTTTGACTCGGACAGGCCTTAACAAACCGAGCGCTGGCCCAAAAGGGTGTCAGCAGGACAACCTGACGGACGCAGAGCTACTCCGTTTACCGGTGTGCTCCCATGTCACCACAGTTTATTGTGTCAGCCTGGTTGTGCCAATTGACCCGGGTCACAGCCGGGCCGGCACATCATGTTCACTTGTGCGCGTTGGTGCGCGTGTGGCCGATTCGGGAACCGGAGGAACCCAGCCCCATTGAAACAGAGTCCCGTGAGATAGCTCCCTTGGGGCTGAGGACTGGCAGAAGGGGGAGACCTGGCTCCGTATAGAAACACAAGTAACACAAGCAGCGCATGGAGAGCCTGACAAAGATCCTGGAAACACATCCCTAGTCAAGGAGCGCACACCAAAGCGATGGGCAAATCGGGTAACAGCAAAGACCACAAAGCACTACTCCCCCGCCCACACCCCCTTCCCCGCTCCAGCACCTACTCGGGCTCACAGGGCCAGTAGCGCGTGCCACGAACTGTCCTGCCGCAGTTGCCAAAGCGGTCCCCAAGCATGTTGACAGCGCGGAAGCAGGCCAGTGGTGCTGCTCTCGCCCCTGCGGCACACGACAGAGGGGATCCGGTCAGCCCGTGGGGCCCCGCGCCTCCTGCTACCTGCCAGCCTGCCCCCAGCTTGGCTCCCGCGTTGCCGCCAGGCCCGCCGCCCCCGGCCGTGCTCCTACCCCTGCCAAAGATGCGTGTGCAGAGCATGTTCTTGTTGAAGCAAGACCCCCGGTAGCAGCGGCTGCCCTCACCGCACGGCGCCCCATCTGGCAGGTGCACGTCATCCGGGCAGCGCGTGGAGTTGCCCTCGCAGTACTCGGCCACATCGCACTTGTCGCTGCTTTCTCGGCACACCGTGCCCCGGCGCAGGAGCTGCAGGGAGTGCCAGGCCGCCGGAGCCCTTCCTCCCACTGGGGCGCGCAGCCTCCCCAGGGCCCCGGCCCCCCTTCTCTGTGCTACCCATTTCCCCACGTCACTCACCTCCCCCTCAGCCTCACGGCACCATCCTGTCCCAAACAAACCCCCAGCCCCACGCCTCCTTCCCCAGGTGGCACCTCCGTCTCCTTGCCGCCCGGCGCCCGCCCTGGCCCCCGCTTACCTGACACCCGCGGCAGCACAGCCCCCCGGCACAGGCTGCCCC